AAAAAAAAAGAATTATAAGTAATCTAGAATTATTTAAAAATAAATGGGGATATATGGAGGCTATATGTAAAGGGATTGAGCATGGGTTTTGGTATCTGCGCAGGGACATGGTGTCCTAAAACAAATCCTCTTAGTGACACTGAAGAATGTGTATATTGTCAGAATAAAAAGTAAACAACCAGCAGGGCCATGGTGGTGCATACCTTTAATCCTAACACTTGGGAGGCAGAGGCAGATGGATCTCAGTGAGTTCGAGGCCAGCCTGGTCTACAGAGCAAGTTTTAGGACAGCCAGGGCTTCACAGAGAAACCTTGTCTCAAAAAACCAAAAGAAAAAGAAAAGGAAGAAAGAAAAAAGAGAAAGAAAAGAAAGGAAGAAAGAAAGAAGAGAAAGATATTTCTAGGAGATAATATAATGACAGCACTTATTTGGTTATTTATGGGAAAATGAATGTGATTAACTCAGTGGTCTGGACAGTCTCTAATTACCAGTTTCTTTCCCCTCTTCCCCTCAGAAAATGTGAGCCAGGGCACTGGGAGACTAATCTGACATCTGGAGCAGAGACTGAATGGCTCTGAGAGAAATCACAGACAGGAAAGCAGCGCTGGTCCATAGTCAAGAGCAAACTGAAAATTATTTGTGAGCTAAGGTCAGTGATGGCATGCTAGGTCTCTAGAATAGACATTAACATGATTAAGATATCGAGATACATCACTTCCCATACCAGAAGATCACACAGGTGACAGACCACAGTGTGTCTGCGCTAACTTTAGCTAGCATCCCTACCCTACCGTCGCCTCAAGACTGCAGCACAGGAGGCAACTCGGCTCTGAGACAATTCAACGGTCCTTTATAGACTCTGCTGTTCAATGGTCCTTTATAGACTCTGCTGTAACTGGCGAGAATTTCAAATTTTTCATATGTATTTCACAGGATTAGTATATGTACAAACACTGTTAAGTAAAAGTAAAATAGACGTATGGGCTAATAAGTAGTGAAAACACATTGTTGAACTCACCTGCCCACTCTTCCCAAACTCCAGCTCTACAATGGCAGCAGGGGTGTGTATTTGAGCTGTGTGCCTGGACTGCGACTTGCCGTCCACTCTCCAGCTCAGGCCCCGCAGTCCGTTATCCCAGCGGCTCTGGTTCAGGAGGCTTTCTCGGATTCTTGTCTTATGGCTCTTCCAAAACTTGGAAATGACTGCAGCTTGTTCACCGGTGATGCCACCCTGCTTTTTGGTCTGAGCAGTCAAGAATGCCTCTAACTGGTTGAAATCCATGTCTGCAGATGCGATAGACTACAAAGACAACAGAGAAAGCAATGTGTGTTTGATTGGTAGACAACTAGACAAAGCTGCCTACCTACAGAGCACGTTTTAATTGACCTTAATCATTGACTACACTTTCAGAAAGGGCCATCATGTGACAAGAAAGAATGATGATTATAGTACAAATGCAAAAATATTCCCTTTCCAAATAAGAAATTCTCTATCAATAACAAGAATATAACTTTAAATATACACTTTCAGATGGCTGGAGAGATGGCTCAACAGACAAGAGTACTTGCTGCTCTTGCCAAAGGCTCAAGTTCAGTTCCAGGCACTCACACGGCAGCTGACAACTGTCCATAACTCCAGTTCCAGGGGATCTGAGGCCTCCTCTGATCTCAACAGGCACCGAGCATGAACATGATGTACATACATGCACTCAGGCAAAATACTCATACATATAAATTCAATAATTGTGGGGAAATAAAAATTATTCTAAACAAGGAAACAAAAAATCAAATTAATTGGTCCTCTGATAAAATCTTACATAATTTATTGTCGGTAGACCTGGTTTGACATGTTGTAGTGATACCATGAGCTGTCCATTAGACAACTAAGTAAGTGTCGTTCAGTGGATGTGACTTGAACTTTGCAGTTATCTCCGTCAAACAGCTCAGGAACACTACTTGACATTGTATGCTACATTACACTTTCCTTATACTCTTAAACCTTAACTACCATTGCAGCTAGGTTCTCCACTCTAGCATTTAAGAACACAGTAAGCGGATGTGCTGATTTGATATTTCGTCAGTGTTGACACAATCTAGAGTCATCTGAGAAGAGGAAACCTCAACTGGACTGAGAAAATGCCTCCATTAGATTAGCCTGTGGGCAAGCCTGCGGGATGGTTTCCTTTCCTTTTTCTTTCCGTTTCACCCCCTGAGACCAGGTTTCTCTGTGTGTAGCCCTGGCCATCCTGGAACTCACTCTGTAGACCAGGCTGGCCTTAATAAACTCACAGAGATCTGCCTCCCTCTGCCTCCTGAGTGCTGGGATTAAAGGCGTGAGCAATGATGGGTTAGTTTCTTAGTTGATGATAGATGTGGGTGGGGTCCATTGTGGGCAGTTCAACCCCTGGGTACGTGGTCCTAAGGAAACAGAGCAAGTCAAGAGGGGAAGCCAGAAACTGACATTCCTCAATGGCCTCTGCTTCAATTCCTGCATCCAGCTTCTTGCTTTGGCTTCCCTCAGTCCACTGATGATGGACTGGAACCTGTAAGCCAAATAAACCTTTTCCTCCCTAAGTTACTTTTGATCATGGTGTTTTACAACAGCAATAGAAGCCAAACTAAGACACTAAATATAAGTATATTAAATGAGGAACAAAGTACCTTAAGATTGCACAGTACTCTACTTTCAAAGAGTTTTCACATCTATTACTTCTATTGAAACTCACATTCCGTTTCAAAGACAACATGGTAGACAGAAGCACTGATAAGTGTTGATCATAGAAAAGCCACTGACTTCCAATAAAGTTCAATGAATAGGAGTCCCAACTGTTAAGCCACAATTCTCTGATGTACTGGTGTAGGGATAAGCCCGCCCATT